ACAAACAACACATTTCACAAGATCAATAACCAAAATTTTTGTGCTTGCAACTACTAGAAAGACTATGTCAAAATAAGGTGTGGCCCGCGGTACCACCCAGTTATTTATATCTGTCCCTCCAGTAATGAAGGTTGCACACCCTTGAACAAAACAATATGCAAATATTTCATTATTTATTGATAATCTGTTTAAAAAATCATTCAGAATTTTTTTTTACTACACTACTTTCGTCATAGACAAATAAATGTAAAGCTTGGCCACTACGCCAATCTGGATCTGGAAATAACAAATATGTTGAGACTATTTTGTTGCGTTAATTGTTCAAATTGATGGACTTGAAAGTTAATCTACGATTCCTTGGTTAGGAGTCAAGTATTAAATTATGTTTACTCTTAATTATATTAGTGGTATTCTCATGAAGGAGTTCTATCATCGTTATAAATCCCTTCTCCAACTTTGACACAATTGGCAAAGTTATTTTGCTGGACAGGTAATTTAATCAGCGGAATAACAGTATCCAAACCCTCCAGTTTAAGATAAGAAAACCGAATATGGAAATTAAAATACCCTTCAAACTTAGAAAATTACTCCATTTGTTGTGAAGTAAAGAAGTTTTTGATTAAAAAACAAACTCATTAACAACAACTATATTTAACAAAAGACTCATTTGTCGATGACCTCCCTAATAATACGTGTTGTTCATTAATAAATATTAATATAAAATTGAAATCAACTAAAAACGTGCAAGTAAGTAAGAAAAAGATGATTACAAACATTTTAAATTAAATGATGACAGGAGAAAGATTTCGAAAAAGAAATGAATCTTAAAACAATAAATACATTATATGAGTGTAACTAACTGACCGAGAAAGGGAAGCCCTTCAATGTGTATCAATCTTTAATAGTTTACGAGATATAGTAACCAGATATGATATAGCAAAGAAACTTTCTTATGATAAGACATACGATGAAGAAAATGGAGACAACAATTAAAACATTACAGTGTAGACAAAACAACTCCAGTATACGTTTGGAAAATAATCAAATATTCAGTCAATGAAAATTTGTGCTGAATGTTATTACTTGATATTCAAAGAAAAATAAATATAACTTCCAAATTTAAATCATGAATCTTCCTGCGTTCCAGTCACAGAAGTTTTCAATAAAAATGATCTTGTATCAATAAATGTTTGGTATTAAAATATTGCAATGAAATAGCAAATTGAAATCCTTGTATGCTTCAATGGTTATTTCAGTTTATTGTTTTTTATTTCTGAACTTCATCACTGTGAACTTAAGGGCTTGCAATTTTCTGAAGCTAAACCAAATAACCGATCTTGCACCAGATTGCCCATCCTGGCAATAGACGCCGTTCAGACTTGATTGATAGCAATTGTTTTGCCAGCAGGCTTCTTTGTAGAATTCCGCACAGCTGCTCGACAACCTCCTATCATTATCAAAATCTTTTGTAGAAAACTGCATATTGTTATGACGCGTCAATGAATCACCAGCTGTTCCAGAGTATTCTCCAACTAGCAATGTATTATTTTCGCTCGCAGATGAGATTGAGAACGTCCTGAAAACAAATAAAGCCTGATTCAATGATATTTCTGGCAGGCTAGGTGAACATTTATCAAACAACTTGTGCGACGTTCATATTGGTAAAATAAGATAGAAATCGAACTAATGTATTATTCTTGTAGGGACATCACACACAATATCCGTAAAATTAGATCCTTATTCGAATTACTTCCCTAATAATCCCATCAGTGGCGGCGCGTGGTCATTTTGACAACCGGGGCAAGCTACTGCGGGACTAAGTCACCCCCATCTACGGGGACAGGATGAGCGCTGTAAGTTCTCCCATCATTTTATGAGTATAAAAACCATTCCATCGGTAACAACCAATCGGCAAAAACGACAATTTTTAACGATAAGAAAGTGTCTTTAAAACCGGTCCAAGTCAAGGGATTAATAAATATAGACATAGTTTATTTTGAAACCTCTTTCAAAAGGAAAGGCAATATTTACCCAGATAAATACAATGACATATTAACAGAAACTTCGGGAAAGCAGACAAAACCTAAAATAAGGTTTAAAACGTTACTATGAAGAAAGGAAAGTTAATGCAAAGATAAGGACATGCGTCGCTCACTCATATTTATATATGCTGCTAGACTTCTACTGCTTGAACATATATGCAACACGCCGCGGTTTCTTGGAAGCAAAATGCTCAATAACGCGCTGATTAAAGTCATGCATCCCAGAAATAACGTCTCTGTGAATGGATAAAACAGCCAAGGAATTTTATCTATCTTGCTTCATTGTGTTTCTGAGATACGTTTTAATACGCTTCAGCGTGCTGAATGTTCGCTCTGCGTCGGCGGAAGAAATAGGCGTCGTCAAAATGATGTCCAGAAATTTTGCAGACGCCGCAAAGGTAGTTACTAGAGTGTTATCTATGAGGAACCCATAGAGCGCGCAAGTTGATGTGATGTTCAAAAAAGTTTGATTGGTGTATATACATCGCAATTCATTTTCCAATTTACCCACGTTTATCATGGGGTAAAATTTGGAGACAGTAGCCAACAAATGGATGGGAAATTGACGTGCAAATTTTGAAAAATTTTTGGGGTTCATCAAAGAGAACGCGGCAAGGTGTTCAGTGCGCAGACGATCGCCTATTTGATTCACCAGAATGTCACAGCATTCCTTTGCAGACAAAATCAAACGCTGCGTTGTTTGCCCGCGGCGTAAAGAAGCACTTCATGTGACGTCGTATTTTATTGTTTCCCGGATACGAGATACAGCATCGAAGAAGTCTGAAATACACGACTGCACAGACGCTCCATCCATTAGCCTTGACTGCAATGCGCCGTATAATACATCCACATGATAGAATACTGTGGAGAAAAAAGCGAGAAAAAATGAAAACTCACCATCTTCTAGCAGACGCTTTAGACCTGCCGCCTCCCTCACAGAGCGTTCGTCCCAAACCGGAGAGCTCTGAATGCCATTGAAACACTCAATGATCTCAGACCTAATTTCGGACACGCCCTGCACCACGCGTGATTGGAAGTTCCAATGTGTTGGTGCACAAGCTGGGAGACGGCGGCTACATATCTGGCGAAGGAAGTCAGAGCGCTTCGGCGAAACGGAAAAAAATGAGGAAAACCCCGAAACATTTGCAAACAATATACGGACGAGAGGGGTATCAAGACACATGTTTTTAATAACGAGGTTAAATTGGTGTGCATAACAATGTAAAAAATGCGCATGAGGAAAATATTCTTTTATATAAACTTGAACACCATGTTTCGTCCCACTCATGACTGCCGCGCCGTCATAAGTTTGAGCTATCAATTTTGACTTCGCGTTGTAAGGCTGTAACACTTCTTTCAGTACAGCCGATATCCCGCAAGCCGTGCGATCAACGATTGGTACAAAGCTGTGAAATCTCTCGGTAGGTTTACCATCTTTCACAAACCGAAAAATCAGAGCCAGTTGGGAAACGCACGTGATGTCAGTTGTCTTGTCAGACTGAATCGAGAGGAACTGGCAATTCTCAATTTCCAGAGCCAAATGTGGTAAATAAATTTTATACATTGAGTCGAGCAAATCATTTTGGATATCCTTAGATGTCCCTTTCGAAACAGTTTCGGCATCAAGATGATCTCTCAATACTGTATCTAGGGATGCGGTGTATTCCACCATATCTAAAAATACCCCTCTATTAGAAGAGCCAGCCCGTTCATCGTGCCCACGGAGGGACTCGTGACAACCAATGAACTTCAAAACATCTATCAATCGACCGAGAACATGGCGGTTTTTCTCGACGTTTTGGTTGTGCCGACGAATAGAAACCGCGCGTCCTTCATCCAACTGTGCTGCAATATTAACATTTCCGAATGTTCGGTATTTTACTGCATTGTCCAGATGCTCCATAGAAGATTGATGATCCCTGGCGCGCTCGGAAAGATGTTTAAGGTCTCTAAAACCAAATTTACACCAACGTGAGTCACGGGCGGTAGCAAAAAGTAGGCAATTAAAACAAAAAAGTGCATTTTTGTCCTCGCTGTAACACAACCATTCGTGTTTTTTATACCAAGTTTCTGCGCAGAATGTACGCCGACGCTTTCCTCCGTCATGGGATTGTTCCAGTGAACAATTTTTTGGTTGATAAGGCCCAAGACGTTGTACCTCTAATTTTTGTTCCAGCGGCATCTGCGAAAACGGAGTGCGAAGTAGTGCATCAACCTTATTCATTATGAGGTCTAAGGCTAAGAAATGCGAAGCCGGAAAGAAGTGAGGAGCTCAAAAGGAATGTGGAAAATCGAAAGCAAATGGACTAAAGGTCTCTAACTGATTCAAATAGCGAAACAAGCGACAAAAACGAAGGCGAGGAAACTATCAACTCTTCAAGCAACCAACGAACGAGAAGGAATGCGTGAATATGTCAACACGTTGTTGTAAGAAACGTCGGCATTGTGTCGTTATAATTTCGGGGCTAGCCCCGATCGGCCCCGATGATTTAGTAAAAGAAACAGAAAACAAACGAGACAAACGCGGCGAGTGGAAGATAAAAGAGAGAATACGATATACAATGAGCAACCGGGGCAAAATCGGCGTCGGCCCGTCGACGTTCGGCGAAGGCTTTGCGAGCGAAAAAATGAACCATGTCGGGAGAATATGGCTAGTGTAGACAGTCTGTGCAACCGATATTGAGGTATTTTTCGAATATTTTCTATTATACCGAAAAAACAACCGGGGCATTGCCCCGGTTGGCCTTATTGACGCGCCGCCACTGATACCACTACTGTATGACATGTGACTCAAAATTGTGGTGGTGGAGGAAACTTGGTTTCCAGTTAGTGAATTTTATTGCAGTATATATGCGAGAGGATTACCATAATGATCGATCAATTAATACTAATTGATGAAGGGGATTTTATTCAAGGATTTATTGTTTACTCTTAACATTTATAATGATAAACTGGATTTTAATACCCATATTTAGCATACACAGTGTTTCCATTAAAATCTTCCAAATCAACTCTTAGTTCGGAACTTCCGTTTTTAGTCAGTTGATAGATTGTTTCCAAGCCTGAATATGAAGAATGTAAAAATATGATATCCCACTTCAAAGAATATTCAAAATATTTACCAGGTTGTATTGAGACGACCACGTCTATAACAATGTTCGATGAATGTTTTCTCGAGCATCGATTCCGTGTTCTTTCCGTGACAATGGGCAATAAGTCGACAATGACGCAATACTTGAAATTTAAAGCGGACACTCTGTCGCTTTTTTTGCGCAGACAAATAATCAGACATGGGTGAAAAGTGAACAATACCTCATTTTCGTGGTTTTGCGTTTTATTTGTCAGTTTTAGCTGTTTTTCCAAACATTAGTTGTAAATTGAGTGCCATTGTGTTCCCCAAGAAGCTATAGGCGCAATAATCAAATACTAATCCCGAAAAAGCTTCGATATAGAGTATAGACTATTAGGCTAAAACTAGCTACCAGCACCACACGCGATTAAAGGTTTTTATAAGTGCCAACTCGGTAAAGATATTTGTATTGAAGATAGAAAATCCATTAATTTGGGAACCATATTATTATTCATCCAATGCCCCTAAAAGTGCTTTCAAGCAAGTTCCTTTCTCGGTAATTTACCAGACTGTCGGCGGTGCAGAGATGTGTCGAGCAGTAATCGATGATGTCACCAAATGGGATTTACAACGGATACTGTTTAATATTAAATATGGTACGTGAGGTTTTATATTATTATTTTACTTATAATCAGAAGAAAAGTAACGAATTTCCATTGAAATGCTTTATCGCTGCGAACTCAGAACTGATTTCTAGTTTGACATTGCATATTGTTATGACATATTATAAATATTTACCCTGTTATGGAGAATTTTGCAATAAGTCTACACCTGCATTTATTGTATGATTTTTGTGTATTTTTATGGAAAATAAGTAATTTGCAGACTGGATTCGATTTATACTGCATTTTGAGTCTTTAACCGGTTATTTTTAAACAATTCCAGGGCAAGTATGTTTTACCGGGTTTTCAGATCAGTCGTTATTTTTTCACCGTTACCGTATCTCCGAGATCAATCCATAACTCGTGTTTGTGACATTTGGGTGTTGGGTTCACTGTATTTGGTTTAAGTGCTTTAAGAGTGATTATGCATTTTATTTTTATACCTCCTCAAACTTGGTTGGTTGTATCAAGCTTTACGGATGTATAATTGCAAATACAGTACAGCTTGTTTTTCTGCTACAGTTTGGAAACGCAAGAAGATGGTTTAGTTAAGTACACGGCAACGGTGTTTTTGAAGCCGATTGGAAGAACTTACGTGGCGATACTTATTTCCGCATATGAAAGAGGTACGTCAAAATATTTCATATGTATTATGTATGTATATGTATTTGGTTTCTAATATCCTGCCCTTAAGTGACCTACCTGCTCACAAGAAGCAGATTTATCATATAAAAAGAACACGGTACCATTACAAATTTCACACACACGCTTCAACCTATATCATAGTTATTTACAACTATCAAACTAATGTAGTCTATCAGTTTGATGGCCGTAGTTTTTCCACAGAAGTGACGCTTAAATGAAATTTGAACTTAAATGGAATTGGTTTGCACTCGATGACGTTTCTTTATTAACAATTTCCTATATTAAAGTGATAAGAATGTGGAACGTAATATTTAATGGTTTTATGATTTTGATTATATTTCGCGATAAGTGTGATGCCCTATGTACGTGATTCCAGGGCCGGAATTGTTATGAACAAACCTACAACTTGTAGTTATAAGTTTGAAAATTTATTCAAGATGAGCTTACATGATTCGCACCTCAAAATGGCAACTCGACTTGGAAGCAATTTTTGCCCTTACAGAATCGTCTGCATCTTTGAAATAACCGATAAATGACCGCAAGCGTGAGTGCTTTAGGACAGGAGTGTCCCAATAAATTTACTGACATAATAAATTGGGTACTCCCGTAGTATATATGTGTACCAGGTATTTTTCTGCAATTCACCAGTGATACGTTGCGTTTCTATTAATAAATCAAATATCTCAATGGTCACTACGTCTTCCGAGGAGCTGTAGTTTAGTTGCAATTATTAAAAATTATTCTTGAAAAATCTGTCACATAATAGGCTGTGATCATCTATCAGTATTTTGAATGGCATTTGGATAATATTGCAAATAGGAATGCATATTTAACACTCCTTCCTTAAAAATAAAAGATCCTGAAAAAGTTTTATAAATATATTTGTTAACCAGACAAGTGAGAATAGAAAAAAAAAATTGTAAGATCGCAAGGCATATTCGAAAGTGCAAACTAAATCATCGGCTATTGAAAATGAGTTAAAAACCGGAACTTGGTTATTCTAACTAGGAAAGAAATTTAAGACAATTTGAATGAACACAAACCAGATATTAATATATACTTGTCTACAATTCGAATAAGAAGTTGTTTTTGACTCTCTATATGAACAGTTTGGATACTCCCGTAGTGTGTGTACCAGGTTACGGTTGAGCCATAATTTTTTTCCAATTTTTCCCTATTTCAGTTATCGCTTGTGGAGTCGATAGAAAACGTGCTGCAAAAACAAATTAACCATTCTTTAACCCAGTTGTCCTTAAACTTTACGAGCCAGCCGAACTCTTACGTAACGCTGGGGGCTTACGTCGAACCCCAATGTTCTGAACTGTCAAAACCCTGGGATCCACTAGAACTGTATACGGGTGAAGTCATTAGTGCGCAAAGTATAGAAAATGCAACTGCCGCCAATTGACAGAGCATGAATTTGTTACATATAGGTATAGGTTTTTGGAACATGTCATATTGAAGGGGTATCAACATGGGCCTGTTTTCCTGCCACCCAGGACGAGTTTCTGATAATAGAGTTTTTTATACCTAACCTCAAAATAATTCGAGAAATAAACAAATTATAGATGTGCCATACATGAAAATTGATAAATTAATGGTCAAGTAAAAGTGAGATGTTTGCTTATTAATAATTAAATCATCAAACTAAGCAATAAACACACATGCATCTAATGCCCAAGCAGCTGCCGCTATGGCCTTTCCCTACGTATCAACCACCAAACTCCATAAGTGCGCAACTAGTTATAACAACGTAAATTGCAACAAGAGAACATTTATCCAAACATGTCCCGTTCTTGGTTGACATCGTAGTTCATTCAAGGGTACTCCTGAAGTATGTGTACCAGGTTAGGGTTAGTTAGGCCATAATTTCAGGTACAAATACTACGGGAGTCACTTGGCTAATCCCCAAACTCGTATTAAAACTAAAATAGGGAAAATTGGAATAAAATTGTTGCCTAACCATAACCTGGAACACATACTACATTCCTGTGTCCGCCATCTTGGTACGCATACTTCAGGAGCACCCATGAAAGACGGAAGAGTTTTTCGGACAAACTTGGAACCACCACGATCATTGTGGTGTAACCTGATACACCATGTCGAAATAACTTTTGTTGTGCCACAATAACGTCAGAAGCAGGGTCCTTGTTTGCAGAAAAATAGCTATAATTTGTGCGGCTGGAAAGGGGAAACTATACTTTAAATATCAATCAGTTGCGCTAAAGGATTTTAAAGCAGTAGCAAATTTTATGTACTACTGAGTAATATAAATATGTTATTATAACAGCAAAGGTTTATACGAAATGATAGACATGGCAATACAGACTCAATAGCGAGTATTTAAATTTATCAGATGGTATAATATTTGAATATTGTTCATCAAAACTTTGTGACGGCGATAATATCATATTGTTATATCATAGAATGTAAGATATAATAAGCTTCCGTTGGTCAATGCATAACTTTATACAAAGAAAACAACAATCATCAATGCAATATTTTGAGTATATAAATCATAGGGATATGTCTCAATAGGGAATTCATCTAATAATAAAATAGATAGTGAGAAATATAACAGAAAGTGTGATCCAATGCAACAATGACCTACATTAGCTTGCAGAGTTTTAAATATAGCAGTAAATGCAAATACGAACATGCAGCAATGTTATTGGGTAATTATGCTCTTCTCCGAAATTTCATTTCACCAAACTTCAGAGATTGGTGTTTAAATTTCCCCTGATACCATATAATGGAATACCAAGTAACTCGCCCGTCCTGGTAATACATCCCATTCAGATTAGAAACATAACAATCTTTGTACCACCAAGCCCCACTGGAATCGATTGCGCAGCTACGGGAATAAGAATCGTCATTATCAGAATCTCAATTCAATGATATTTCTGGCAGGTTAAGTGAACATTTAATAAAATATATCGTGCGACGTTCATATTGGTAATCTAGGATAGAAATATAAACAAATGTAGGTAGGCACATCACACACAATATCCGTAAAATTAGATCCGATTCCACTTACTTTGCCCAACTTACTAAACTTCTGTATGGCATGATGTGACTGAAATTTTGTGACGGTTGAGAAAACTTGGTTTCCGGTCAGTGGATATTACTGCAGTATATATGCGGAAGAATTAGCAGAATGATCGGATTATTAATACTAGTCGATGCGGGTTCATTATCCAAGATTTATTGTTTAGTCTTAAAATTTATAATGGTAAACTGTATTTTAATACTTACCCATATTTAGCATAAGCAGTGTTTCCATTAAAATCTTCCAAATCAACTCTTAGTTCGAAATTTCCATTTTTAGTCAGTTGATGGATTGTTTCCAAGCCTGAAATGGAATGTAAAACATATGAACATATAATAACTTTGATTATTTAAAAAAGTTTGCGTTTGTGATAAATTTAGTGATTATCTAGCAGTTGGGATATTTAATCTTTGAAATGAACTACACCTACCTAACCACATTTCTTTGTCTTTTTCTCCAAAACCATTGCCGTAGTCGTTCCATCCTCTGTAAAAATCTTCTGTTCCGTCCAATCGTCTTTGAAACACCTCAGGAATATTACAAATGCAGTTAAAATGTTGGGATAATCGATCATAAAATGATTTTATTTTTTATAGCTGTTGCCACGGACCGTAAAGTCCATTTTTAAGTTGTATAAATATTTTTAAGGGTTCATGTAAAGCAGGATCGTTCAACCCGTGGCCTGCGGAACATTTCGAGATGCCCGCGCTGTATTTTTTTAGAATTGAATAAAAAAATTGAGCGAAACTATTTTTCGAGCGATGTAGTATACAAAGATATGATACACACGATTTGTTTATTTCCTGAAATGCGCTCTGCCAGACCTTTCAAACGAGTCATGAGTGCCATTTTGAATCGAAACCAACTGGGAGGAGATATCGATAAATAAAATCTAAGCCATTCTCAAATTAAGAATGCTTTAGGGAATGTATATTATGTATTGTTCGGGTTGCCATTCATTCTCAAACATTTCATTCAATGTTTTACGTCCGTAAAAAAAGGTGTTTTCAAAAATTGCCTGTCAAGACAGACCATAACCTATCGTGTTGAAGAACTTGACAACTCTATAGCGAAACTTTAATTGCAAAAGCAGGGAAATTCTCATCAAATTCCTTGGCGCTTAACGAAAGCACTGACATCAAGGTTACAGCGCAGTTTGCAATCTTTTTACGGGGAGTTAATGATGATTTTGAAATTACCGAAGAGTTCTCAGCTATTGTCCCTATTAAAGGTACTACTAGAACTAGAGGCATTGATTTGTTGGAAGCTGTGATGAAAATGATCAAGCGGTTGGCTTGTCTTTGTGGAATAACTACTGATGGCGCCCCAACAAATGGTTGGGAAACAACAGTTTTATTGATAGAATAATTGTGTAAGTTTGGTGTGTGGATATTAATTGTTTTTTCATTAACCGGTAGTCAGTGTACCAAAACTAGAACATAAGTGGCCCGCGCAATTATTAGTAAACTATATGTGGCCCTTTGGCCAAAACGGTTGGACGACCTTGATGTTGAGTCTACATTGTAGACTTTCATGTAGAATCTACATTGTAATCTCGTCATTTTTTTTTCTGTTTTTGCTAGGCCTAACGATTTTGCGGATATGCAATTTTCAATTTGCATTATAAGATTACAATCACGAAACACTAGCGAAATTTTTTTGTCAGGTTGCCGTTTTCAATAAATAACTAATCCGGAATATTGTACCTTTTTTATTTAAAAACACACTACCAGGTAACGCGCTTTGAAATTATATTCAAAAAGAGTATTGCCATATAGGTTACGTAAAATCCATTATCAATGAAGGCCATTATATTAAGAAGTAGTTGGAAGTTATAACATACAATCCATCCGCCTCCATCTGTTACAATATTGCAGTAAACTTCGACAGGTTGGTTCCTTGAGACCGGATAAATATCAAAGACTCCTCCGGTGGTGTTCTGAATTTTTGCATATTTTCGATTTACACTTGTGCAATCTCTCGGGAAAACTGTAAAATAGTATGTATGCAGTATGTAAAGACGTTCAGAATATCGTTTAGAAATTTTGACAAAGCGTTTGTCACCGTAACAAACCTGCGGCCCATATTATGCAATATAGCCCCGTATCTTATGATTGAAATTGAAAAAAATACTCAACCTACGTTCTTGTATAACCGATTTCATGAATTGCTGGTGAGAACTTGAAATATCTTCAACTGATTGATTTATTCGAATCTGCTGTTCATTAAGTTTAAAATAAATCAAGTCTGAGGCTGCAAAAATCACATGTTATGATTATATGTCATTCATTACCCTGCAATGCATGCAGATTGGCGCTTGGCGCAGAACGTTAATCTAATTGTGATATCTTCAGATGTAGAATGGAACATATATACGATTGATAACATATACATGTATTTGGACTATATATATTAGGATTTTCATGAAATCATAGAAAATTAGAAAATAAGGCAACGTGCTGTTGTTACTAAGATAGCAATCGCTACAACAAAACGATTTAAACATACACATGAAACACATGTTTAAAAAAGTGTGGGAAAGCTGCGTCCGCGTGAAAATTGAAACCCATCCAGTACATTCACGATTACATCCTTGATAACATCGCAATGAGATTTATTTTTGGGCCCACATCTATAATTTTTACATCTTTCATATAATCTTTTTCACTTATACAGAGACCATTTTTCAAATGCGTTTCTTAATCTTCGTGTTCGATAAGTCAACCATTTATAGAACAGTAAAATTACCATTTTCCTCTAGCCATTTTAACCTAGCAAATGACTGGTCTCCTTGGTGTGCCAATTGCTCTTTCATAATTTTCATCTCACTCTGGAGCTGTTGATATAATGGAATTATTTTAGTGTTCACGTGTACTTCCAAGAATCAGAGACATTGGTAGTTTTGGCTTTTAAACCACCGAAAGTCAGTTCATTGTAATAATATACGAGCATTGAAACAATAAACTCGCTACCTAAAATAGGATTGCGCCCATTGACTTTGAGACCATTATTTGCGGTTCACGCCGTGCAGAACAGCATACCCTTCTATGCTATTTTAGACATTAAATCTGGTTTAGTCAGTTCAAACGAACCATTTTTAGGTTACTTTTTTTTTCAAAAATGTATTCGAAAAGCTCCTCAAAAGTTCGCATCAATTGGTGCTTAAAATTCTTCATGTATAGACAATCTTCAACCACATTCGGACAGAAGGGAATTTGATTTGAAGTTTCATTAATTGAGTTGGGCGTATGGGTGTTTGACTAAATAGCTTTGTCGTTTATGAGGTTTTGCTATCACATTTTGTACTTCATTTTGCATTGTGAATTCTTATTGTTTTGACAAAATTCGCTTGTTTATTATGCATATACATTCGCACTTTCCGGTATAATATTGATAGAACATAAAATAACTTCAGAAGAATTTCACTAACCTGTGTGATGATCACAAGACAGAAAACAACAAGCCCAACAACCATTGATAAAAATATTGACAGAGCAACTAGTCCTCTTCTTACTGTTGTGCCTTTAGTATCTGGAATGATAACAGAATTTACTTGTTAATAAAAACATTAACCGAAAACTGAAAGTTCAGCGATTCTGTAATCAACAAGGGTTCAGCAAATTGAATGATTCATGATAATTGTGAATCCATGAATCATGATAATAAAGTAACATCACGTCATGCGAGAATTGAAATAATATATTTCGTCGAAGTAAAATAGTAACGGATGGCGAAAATGAATGGCACTTCATAGCTAACGTATAAACTAAAAGTCGAAATACCTTTGTGCTTTTGTGGTTGAATGCGCGTCGTTTCATAAATATTGTCATTAGCTGGCAAAGCGTTACTTTTATTTGGATTATCTGGAATTTCACAGTAAAATCTCGTCTCGGCTACAGACATCTTGACAAATCAATCCGTTCTATCAAACGACTCTTCCCAAGTGTTCAACAGCGATTTTTATGCAAAGCATATAGGTGGTTTATTATGACTTAGTCCTGTAATGATTAGATGATGCATTCGCGTAGTGTAACCTTATGATCAAATATAACAAGATTTACAAGCTTTGAATACAAAACGAGTGACGGCAATGACGTCTTTAGACGATCAACACAGACGTTTATATATTCAATTGCCTATTATCCACTATATGTACGTGAATGCATAACATTACTGATTTTAGAATATTATTAATGCCCTCAGCACTTATGACTACATTGTTATCGAGTCGTCGCCTACAGATTTGTTCGTGTCGACAAAGGCTGTGCCATGAAGGTTTTAAGTTTTTCTTTGGAATAAGTCGCGCAACGTGTGGTTTATTAAACGTTAACATTAAGTATTATCAGTATGCGTAGTTTTGATGGGAATTCTAATCAACAAGGAGATCATCATATACGATGCGTCGGTAGAATAAACGATGATAGACTCACGAAGCTGCACAATCTCATTTTCAGCCAGTCAATTCTGTAAACATGAATTGTTTGAATAGTCAATTCTGTTGGCCACGATTGCTATTGTTACCAGGCTTATTTTTAATACGTACATGGCCAATTTAAAGCGAACAATACCGATTTTGCCCGCTTTTAGGGATAATCTTATATTTTATCAATAATTTACGGTTTTTAAAATTGAACGGAGTCGTAACTTGTTTTTTACTGGACATATATAATTAAATTAAATAGCGTCAAACCATATCACAATGACGAATCAATTTTCATATAATTTATCTCAGTTGAACACTTGATTAGGAAATTTTCGTGCACGCTAATTTACTATATAAGCTACTCATTATTCACTGTTTGATTATCGTATTGTACTATTATTGTACTGCGATGGTACGTTGGATTTGTCTCGTTAAAGTGAATGACAAGCTTGTGGGATTGGTCAGGTTTAAGCTGTTACTATTACGGCTCATCTTTTAACGACCGGCAATATAACCCTCTGTATCCAACCAACAAACAACAAGTCAAAATGTACTTTGGTACCCATACGCTTTCTGAAATCTGAGACATGAAATCTCATTTTGTGATTAAACCCTATCTAGGATACTCATACAGCGTGTGGAATGTAAGTTAATCCGAGCTCGGATTGAATTTGTTCAACGAGCATTACCTTACTAGCGGATAGCAACGCCAATTTATTGATATTGAAAATGCCTACAAGGCGTATTAATTTACTCACTTTACAGTGTACACTGTACAGTATAAAATAATTTGGACACTCCCGTAGTGTGCCTGCTGCCCAGGGCGAGTTTCTGATAATGGAGTTTTTACACATAACTTCAAATTAATTCGGGAAATAAACAAATTATAGATGTGCTATGCATGAAAATGGATAAATTAATAGCCAAGTAAAATGTTTGTATTATTGAATCATCAAACTAAGCAACAAACACACATGTATCCACTGCCCTGGCAGCTGCCGCTATGGCTTTTCCCTAGGTATCAACCACCAACCCCCATAGATGCGCAACTGGTTATAGCAACGTAAATTGCCACAAGAGAACAACTACTCATAGTTATCCGAACGTGTCTCGTTTTTGATTGACATCATAGTTTATAAAAGGATACTCCTGAAGTATGTGTACCAGGTTAGGGTTAGTCAGGCCGTAATTTTAGGTACAAATGCTTCGGGAGTCATTTGGATAGTCTCCGAAATCGTAATAGAACTAAAATACGGAAAATCGACATAAATTTCCACGTTCCGGTGTCCGCCATTTTGGTACGCATACTTCAGGAGCATCCATAAAGGACTCCCCAGATGAGTTTCCAAACAAACTTGGAACCATCACGATCATTGTGATGTAACCTTAAATACTGATACACCATGTCGAAATAACCTTTGTTGTGTCACAAGAACGTTAGCAACAGGGGCCTTGTTGGCAGAAAAATAGGTAAACTTGTGCGGCTGGAAATGGGAAACTTTGACGAGGCAAAAATCGCAACTTTGGACATCTGAAAGCTAATACATCTTATATTGAGAGTGTTGATATCACAAGTCATTCACATGTCAGACTTTAAATACCAATCAGTTGCGCTATAAAATTTTAAAGCAGTGGCAAATTTTATGTACTACTGACTCTGTCAAATATAAATATTTCCTGTAGCGTGCGGGCCACATTAATTTTCGCCAATGAACAATCGTCACCTTAAGCAAAATGATGTCAACTTTGTATTGAGTTAGTTATTCAAATAGATATTTGAATTACGTGTATCCATAGCGGGAGGTATGCACTCTCTTAACCTCCAGCTATTCTTACATTTACTCAACAATTGCGTTGCTCGCCATAGACTTGTTAGATGCTTTATATTACATTATTGTATCTCAACTACCACGAAACACAGTAAACAGTAACATAAGGTGTGACAGAGTTCACCACCTTCAAACAATGAACAATACAATTCTCGATCAATTTCATTTAAACTGAAGTGAAAATTGTGATGGAGATTTAGTCACAAAGAATAAAAATATTAATAAATTTAAGAGAAAGAAAAATGTAAATTCATAACAATTTGAGAAATCTTTTACATCGCCGTCTGTCATTCATAAAAACATTTAATTATGAGAACAAGAGGGCTTTGCTCAAATATAGGGGCATGGAAAGTAATAGACTTCTAGTAAATATTACAATCTTTATACACTGAAAATATCAAAGCAATTGGTCCAGTAGAATATGAGAAAGGATATTTTTGCATAAGGATAAAAAAAAAAATGCCAACAAGAACAAAAACATATAGCAAGTAAGCAACAATAGAAAAACGATCCATAGTTTCATTTCGTGTCCAGTAAAAATAGAAAATATGCTATATCACGTAAATAGTAATATTATACATTGAACTCTTAACTCAGTCAACAACTTCCGATCTGGAAATAATATAAATGTGTGGTTATAACAGCAAAGGTTTATACAAAATGGCAGGCAGGATATTACACACTCAATAGCGAGTATTTAAATTTATCAGATGGTCAAATATTTGAATATTGTTCATCCAAACTATGTGACGGCGATAATATCATATTGTTATATCACAGAATGATTTATTGTAAGTTTTCGTTGGCCAATGCATAACTTGATACAAAGAAAACAATAATCAATTTAAGTATATTATTCGTGACTGTTTGTCTCAATGTGGAATTTATTTTATAATAAAAAAGGTAGCAGAAAAAAAAATGGAAAGTGTGATCCAATGCAACGGTGTAAAACGGAATTTCAATGTAAAACGGAATAAAGGTAGTCTTCGCTAAGTGAAGAAGTTTATGTTGCTCAGGTATCGAGCGAAGGCATGTCAGCAAATATCTCAGACAGTGCATTTTATATATTTTCAGCAAAGCTTCACTTTTAGCGTACAGTAGTTAGAATTATTATAAAACTAAAAAATTAGACATAGGTGAAACCAATCCTTATAATGCTTTTGGAATAAAAAAAGGTCGAAGTTTTTGAAAAACGCAAATAACACAGCAATAGTATTGGGAAATTATGCTCTTTTCCGAAACTTCATCTCACTGAACTTAAGAGACTGGAAATTAAATTTCCAGGGATGCCAATTAACGGATCGCTTATCATTTCGCCCGTCTTGATAATATCTCATTCAGATTTGAGCTGTGACACTGATTGTACCACCAAGCCCCACTCCAAGTGATCGCGCAACTGCCGGACGCTTGATCATTGTCAGAATCTTTTGTACTAAACTGCATATTGTTATGATATGCCAATGAATCACCGGCCCTTCCAGAATATTCTCCAAGTATTAACCGATATCGATCGCTTGCATATGAGATTGAGAACGTCCTGAAAACAAAAGAAGCTTGATTCAATGATATTTCTGGCAGGTTAAGTGAACCGACATATCTCGCGCGTCGTTCAAATTGATAATCTAAATCTTAGATTCTAAGATTTTTGAACAAATGTATCTTTTAGGTAGGAACATCACACACAATATCCGTAAAATTAGATAATGATTCAACTTACTTTGCCCAACTTACTAAACTGCTGTATTGTATGGCATGTGACGGTGGAGAAAACTTGGTTCCCGGTCAGTGGATATTATTGCAGTATATATGCGGAAGAATTAGCAGAATGATTGAATTATTAATACTAGTCGATGCGGGTTCATTAACCAAGAATTTATTGTTTAGTATTAAAGTTAATAATGGTAAACTGTATTTTAATAATTACCCATATTTAGCATAAGAAGTGTTCCCATTAAAATCTTCCAAATCAACTCTTAGTTCGTAACTTCTGTTTTTAGTCAGTTGATGGATTGTTTCCAAGCCTGAATATGAAGATGTAAAACATGTGATATATGAATTCCCGGTTGCATTGTATACACGCAGTCAAGCAAGTCGTAAATATAAATCGAGAATTGTTGTGATGCTCGAAAAATAAAAAACATTTACGATGAATTTGAGGTGTTAACTTAATATTAACTTATAGGCATTTAGACCCTGATTTATAGTGTAGTAGCACAGTGAAGTTTGCAAACAGAGCACCAAGTTAAAATTTCAAGATATTATGTTCCACTGTTATTGTGATACCAAGTGCCAAGTGACTCCCGTAGTATTTGCACCCAAAATTATGGCCTAACCTGGTACACACACTACGTTCTAGTCATGCCCACCATCTCGGTTCGCATACTGCAGGAATTGTAATACAATGAGTAACTTGTCGCCATTAGCCACCAGTTGCATATATCTAATTTGAATATTTGATTTTTTTATGTCGAATGCACTACACCCACCTAACCACATTTCTTTATCCATTTCGCCGAATCCATTGACATAGTCGTTCCATCCTCTGTAAAAGTCTTCTTTTCCATCCATTCTTCTTTGAAAGACCTTAGGAATATAATAAATACAAAGTTGACTCTCATTAATCAAGCAAATATATTACTATTTATAGTCAGGGACGGACACTTTCCAAATATCATATTTTTTTGAAGATGGACTTGGATTATCTACCGCGAAATACCATACCCTTTTATTACCTTTCTTTCAATTCATTCATCATTTTGAACGCAGTTTCCGGGCATTAATTCCAAAAATTTCATGGTTCTGGCGACCTTTATTTTGCATAACCATGTATGAATACTAGCAAAAAATGTAACGACGCACGCAAGGACGCGGTTTGATTTAATTAATAACTATAAAACAATATGAACCATGAATTTCAATTACCCTTTCGATGTCGCAACACCCACGATTAAAGAACACAGTGTGATCGATATGTCATCATATAATGTTTTCATGACCCAAGAAGATAACATGTTATTATCTCCGCCACATTCGATTTTTAATTTAAAAACTAGAATTACGTGACATTCTTAGTCAATATTGAGAATTAAAAGCATCGGGTTTGCCAAAAAAGTTCCAAGATGTATAATATAGTATAAATATAACTTTATATATGTATTCCTGGGTAGCGATGAATTTGTGAACAACGGTGCTCAGGGATAGTGCATGATTGCCACCAGGTAAACTCATGTTGATAATAAATGAAGCACAACCGGTGTTAGCAAAACGATGTAATTTGCCGACGTTTCGAATTTCTATACAGAAAACGTCGGCAAATTACATCGTTTTGCTAACACCGGTTGTGCTTCATTTATTATCAAGGTGATCAGGAATAGTAGTTTCATTTATTGACCTTGTCTTATATAATAGAATACGCGTTGGTTGTCCAAAATTAAACCATCTTTTTACAACGGGAGAGACACTCTAGAGCTGACATGAGCAAACTACGGCCCGCCGAAAGTTACGGGCCTAATCCGACCTGCTGAGTAATTCAATCTGAAACGTCTGATGCTGCCACAACCAAACTGAAACCAAATTTTGATGTTTCAGTCAGAATTAGCTCAAGGAATTTGTTGAGATTGCGATTAAATTCAGTTTTGGCACGATATTTATTGTTTTCCCTTTTGCTTTTGTGACAATGAAAATATTGCTTATAAAATGTACCCTTTTGCGTCACACTTACATGGCCCGCCAGTCTGAGTGGGCAACATTTTTATGCCCAGGCCCAACAAGATTTACTCACCTAACCTAATTACTCATTCCCTATTGTTGAGGGAATTTCCTCGCGACTGCTCGTCCCGAAAAATCATATTAACTGAAAAATTTCGATACGCTTGTCCAGCTAGTGCACTTTCTTAATTTTTATTTATCATAAAAAGAAGCAGTCGGAATATGCTACTCACAACCCATCCACCTCCATCAGTTACAAGATCGCAGTAAACTTCGACAGATTTGTCTTCGGATTCGGGATATATATAAAATACTCCACCGGCGGTGTTTTGACTTTTTGCAAAGTGGCGGTTCACAGATGTGCAATCCTTCGGGAAAGCTATAAAACATTGCAAGTTCATACTGTTATAGTAGAATATTCAGTCAAGAATTACACCCAGATTATCGGCGTGAAATGAGATTTGGACACTACTTTACATCCTATATAGTATATACCAGAGTGGTCAAAGGTTGAGAAATTGGCGGTCCGCAAAAACTTTTGAGGATGTCTTGAGGGCCGCAGTCGGAGAAAACCGAAAAGTGATCAAAACATCGCGACTTTACTCACTTTACATATATCTAAGAATGAGAGTTTACCGTTCTAATCAGTTTTTTAAGAAAGATATATAAAGCTATTAGTTATTTTGAAATTGCTTCCCAGAAATACTGTGGTATTTTCGGTATCTTGTTTCGTGTTTGGTTTTATAATGTCGCTTCGAATTATATTCTTTCGTGACATATATTACTTGAAAACACCCAAGACACTGTGGTTTAACGTTGTTGTGGGTTAGGAAATACGTTTACCTCGGTCACCTTTTTTACTCATTGTATGATGAATTGTTAAATTTGATTAATTTTATTACTTGTAGCGTGAGCAGACCTGGTGCTATCGTCAAAGAACAACCAAGTCCGCCTAAGTTGGTACTCCGGACCCAGCTGAAAAAAATGGATCGCACGGTGCTAAATCAGCTCTGTGGTTCGTCACTGCTGTCTCGTGGCCAACGCTTGGAAAAGAGAAGTGTTTTTACTAAAATAAAGGCACATAACGTCGCCGCAAATGAGGTTTTACTTGACGCGAGCTCAAGGCATAAAGTTTAAATAAAAATTAGAGCTGTAATTGACATATCGAAATGCATTATTAAAAATGTCATTTAAAAGCGGTTGTATATTTTGGAACTCAATTCCATTGGTCAAAGCATGTTCAATCTGTTATTCAAAACCTAGGAAAATACGTACAAAACATGGTCTATTGATACTTTTCGCATTACCTCGCACGGTAGACAACAGAAGTTCTACGGAATGATTCAAACGTGAAATTTTGTCAAGAGATTCCATTTGTCTCAACGACTGGTTTCTTTGATGTTACAATTGCCCTTTCAAACTTCTCATCTCACTCTAAAGCTGTTAATATAAATTATTCGTTTTCAGTGTTTACATGTAGATTGGAGAAATCGGATCATTTTGGTTCTCAACGACAAAAATCCGAATGATTCTGAGAACAGTGAAACGTTAAATATATTAATGGAATATTTGGGTTAGATATGGGAGTTCGGGTAAATATTAGTATATTCGAAATAAAAAGATAAACAGCATTTCCTTCTCACCCTTTCCAAATGTTATGAATGTTTTGCTGTTACTATTTGTGATTTATTCTGCATTGGGAATATGTATAGTTTCAACAAAATTGTAACCCTATTAATGAAACAGACGGTATTGTTGATTATGCAAATACATTTGCACTTTCCGGTATATAGAATGACCACGGATACATTTTTCTGACCTGTATGATGATCACAAGGCCGAAAACAACAAGCCCAACAACTATTGATGAAAATATTGCCAGAGCAATGAGTCCTCTTCTTGCTGTTGTGTCTTTATTACCTGAAATAATAACAGAATTTACTCGTTGTGCGCAATATAGATCGTGGTCAAACTATATATTTGGTAAAACACACCTTCACTCTTTACTGGCTGCGGCGAGATGGGGATTTTATAGAAATTCGTATCCGATACCACTGTCCTTACTTGCGGGAGATTTCTACGAAATTCTGTCTGTGCGACTGACATCTTGGTAACTAACTGATTGCAAAATGTGATTGCGTGGCATACTTTATAGAAATACGTATAGAAGGGTCCACTTGACGAATATCAAAACATGATTAATATTATTTTTTGGGGGGTCATGAAAACAACATGCGATGAAATATCTAGCACATTGTATACTTTGATCGTGGGTGCCACGACATCGAAAGGTTACTTGGAATCCATGGTTCAGATCGTTTTATAGTATTTCACCATAGTATTTCAAACCGCGTCATTCCGTACCTAAATATTTTTTTTGTAATTGAACCCTGACTATGTGGAAACATTCGAATATCAGCACACAACTAACCAGTGGTTCATGATCTTTTCTGAACCAACCAAATAAAATAGTTATATCAATGTTTTCAGATTTTTTTCGGGAATCGTCTAAAATTTTGATGCGTTTCTTTAGGAAGAGCCATTCAAATGCTAATTTCACGTGCTCAAATTTGAAAGGTTTAATATTCTAAACATTCCTTAAGCACAGAAATCAGCTAATCAATGAAGTATTCGAATGGGGATTTAGGATCCGTATCCACATCTATTCCTTAATGTTAAGCATCCCTGTAGCCCACAATCCTCGGGCCATCCAAAGGTTCCAGCTATTTATTCTTATTCTCAATAATTGTTCGCTCACAAATTCTATTACGTGATGAAAGGATTACTTGGAGTCTCTTCAACAATATATCTAGCGCCAATAATCTGTGATCTCGTTACAAATCTGTATGAATTTACAGTCGTGATACGTCACCAACGATCACAGGAATACATAAAAACGACACAGTAGTGCATACGACAGGTCTGGCGGGTGAGGGAAGAAGGAGGTTATCAGTAGTTTATTTTTGCCCCAAACTAAAACACACTCTATAAATAAACAATGCAAAAAAATAAATAAAATGAGTTTTCAGGTTGAATGGAGGCGAGACACCATTACTGGTTACGAGCAGCGACACCTGTGATCCCAGTCTAGCAGTAATAGATAAATCAAACAGTAATTCATAAATGAAGTTTAGGTGGCGACGACTTAGATATACCCAGAAGGCGCCCTATCCAAAGAGAAATGGATTACGACTCCGGAACATTACAAGAATGGAACATTATTTGGTAAGTAACAATATGGATATATTTTTATAAATTTATTCGGGAGCTCCGTAAATAATAGTCAACTTCTTCACAGTCTCTATAACACCAAAAGTTTGCATTCAATTCACGGCACGGTGCGCTATTTTTAATTTTAATGATGCCAAACAAAACTTCAAAATGAAAAACGAATCCTATAGAACCGACAGAATAATTTGAAATAAATAAAAGTATTGGCCTTCCATTGACAAAAATCTTTAGCCACTGAAAATTCAAAAGCAATTCATCGAGTAGTCAAAGAGATAACCTTTCTTTCACAACAACAACATAATGGACCTTTCCCCGAGCATCGACTTCCTCGTTTACTTCATGACATTGACCAATCAGCAAGACGCAAATAACAATACTCCCTTTTCCAATCCGCCCAGACACTTTTCTCACTCAGACAGATTTTCAAGCTTGGTTGTAAACATTACCTCGTTTTTGGGCTCTATTCTATTCGTTAGTTTTCAGTTTTGTTTCGGAAATTTAAATATAAACAGATAATTCAATGATCACTCAGTCTTCTTAGGATTTTTAATTTAATTGCAGTCATAAAAAATTAGTGTAGAAATAGCTGTGATAGACAGGGCTAAAACTCTTTACCGGTACTTTTAAAAAACAGATTGTTGTATGCGATAAATCACAATGATGGTTTGAAACACATACCCCATTTTACAGGCGCCAACTCGCAAAACTACTCTTAAAATAAACCCCGAAAATTTTGCAATGGTTAAGTATAGGCAGAATTTTTCGGGAGTCAAAGGTCGGGGAAAGGTCCATAGTAAAACATTCCATAGGTCCATTTCGTGTCCAATAGAACTGCAATTGTGGCAATAGACTGCGTTTAATCAGAAGTTCCGTTTGTTTGAACAAAGTAAAGGTCAGGCAATACGATCGTTACAGAGCATTTTTCATTGGAACTCTTATGGACGTTCTTCAGCAAGTATGGGAACAACAAACCCTAAGATGCCAATGAAAGATTAGTTCCTTTTTCAAGATTTCAAGGTTCTTCGTAAGATAACACAACAGAATAAATGTCAGGTATTCCATAAAAATATTGCAATGACATAGCAAATTGCAATCTTCCAATGAAGCCTTTGTATTTCAGTTAATCGGGAAACTACGTTTTTTTTCGAAACTTCATCTCTGTGAACTTTAGCGAATGATAGCTCCTCCATTTAATCCAAGTAACGGATGTCTCATTATACCGCCCGTCCTGGTAATATACCCCATTCAGATTGGAGAGAAAACACTTATTGTACCACCAAGCACCACTCCAACCGATTGCACAGCTACGGGAATATTTGTCATTGTCAGAATCTTTCGTACTAAACTGCATATTGTTATGATACGTCAATGAATCTCCGGCTGTTCCAGAGTATTCTCCAACTAGTAATGTATAGTTTTCGCTTGCAGATGCGATAGAGAAATACCTGAATCATAATGATAAATCTTAAACAAAATGACATTGCTGACAAGTTACACGACCATATTGATGATAGGATAGGATTTAGAATTTAGATATTTATCCCTATGAAAAAGGAAAGCCGATAATACGGCTCAACCATATGCGAACCACGGCCTTCTGTCCGGGTACCAATCCATGTTGGTGATGGGATTAATTAGCCAGTTATTTGTCTTCGGAAGCATGGAATTGATGGTGGAGGAAATCGACCAGCGGTTAAGTGAACCACCCTACCGGTCAGTAAATATTGTCACAGCATAAATAAACTACAAATACCATAGTCATTGATTAATGACATATGTATATACTCATCAATGAGAATAATCTTCGTATATTAAAAATGGTTAATTATATCTTGCTACTTACCCATATTTTGCATAAGCAGTGGTTCCATTGAAATCTTCCAAATCAACTCTCAGCTCGTAACTTCCATTTTTTGTCAGTTGATAGATTGTTTCCAGGCCTGAATATGGAGATGTAGACAGTGGCGTATCTAGGGTGTGGCAGCCATGGCTCGTGTCATGAGCGCCGCATGCACAGGGGCGCAAAAAAGGCGAAAAGTTTTAATCGTAAAATATAATAAAATAATTTCAAATTGGAAATAACTGGACTCGTATTTTGACCAACATAATAACGTACAAGTATCCAGCCGTACAGCCGTTGAAAATTTCCAGTCATCGATCAAGGGGGCGCTTTATTTTCAAACTTTGCCATGGGCGTCATTTTACGTAGATACGCCACTGAGTGCAGAGCATATGAATTGCTCTTGCATTGCATTGCTTGCATACACGAACTCAAGCGGTTGTAATTTTTCTGTTATTTACCCACAGAAATCGCAAACTATCATAAAACTTGAAAGAATTATGCATGAAAGCTTATGATGAAATTCAGGTGTTTAATTATTACCATTATACGCATTCGGACTCTAATATCTCTGAACTCTCTGCCTCAAAGTTTTATGTATATAACAAGCAAAAGAGCAGCCAGCACATACTGCAAACGGGGCACTAGGGGGCCCATTTGCTAAACTTCTTTTTTATCATTTAACGTGTTAGTAAATCGAGAAGTTTGAATTCACTGAAATCGTAAATATTTGAGAGTTTTTTTCGCGCTTAGTAAAACGTCTTGTACCTTCTCATATTTTCTCAAGAAATTGACATTTTCCAAATTTAATTTTTTGTCCTTTCCCTTTAGGAAGATGAGAGAAGGACCCCTATCCCCCCACCCGGTTATTTGAACTTTTGTGTGAACCTCGAGCATTTTCGTGGGCAAGATAGGAAATCTCAATAAAGCATTCTACACAGCTGATGACAAGAATAACAACTGGATTGCATGGAAATGAACGAAACATCCATCGAATTTTGCTGCATACCCACACCATTATATTAATGAATTAATACAATTTGAGAATCCTAACCCTCACGCGGCTACGTCATCTGAAAATTACGTCACAGTGACGTAATAAGGCCCTTCAAAGTTTACGGATGGTCGTCTAACTAAAACGCACAGACGTTGATCCAAAATCGAGCGAGCTATTTCTCTCGTTTTCTCGTCATAACGATACGGATAGTAGAGAGATCGCTGGCGTTAGTGAGTTAATTATAGTACAGCACAGATGCTAATTCGGACGATCGTATCTATACTTTGGCAAGCTCTGTGACGTCGAAGTGACGTAATTTTCGGACGACGTAGTCAGGTGGTTAAGAATATTAAGTGCAAAAATCAATATGCTACACGCACTAGAAGTACTTGCGGGCGCGTACTTCGGGAAACCTAAATTTGTTCCTCAATGGTCGAAGCTCCAAAGAATAGTTAAATTTGGAAAATTCTAGTCTTTTCTCGAAGCGAAAAGCGCTTTACCCACCCAACCACATTTCTTTATTCTTTTTTCCGAATCCATTGGCATAGTCGTTCCATTCTCTGTAAAAGTCTACTGTTCCGTCCATTCGTCTTTGGAATATCTTAGAAATATTGATAATAGAGGCTTATCCAAAAAATAGAATCCATAAATTACCTAGTTACTTTTATTGAATTGTTTGATTTTGAACTTTTCTTAAGTATGATTCTAAGTACTTAGATAAATGTGACTTACTGTCCATCCGCCTCCATCCGTTAAAAGATCGCAGTAAACTTTAACCGGTTTGTTTCTTGATTCCGGATATATATCAAAGACTCCACCGCTGGTGTTTTGACTTTTTGCATAATTACGATTTACAGTTGTGCAATCCTCCGGAAAACCTGCCAAAATTTATATACAGTACTGTAAAGACGCTCAAATACCGTACAGCTCAAATTGATATCACAAAAATATTGTGGATCAATCCTTAACGTACCTAGTAGCGTTGGTATCTTCAATTGTTGATGGGAACGATTCAGACTTGACACATCTATAATAGATTGATTTAATCGGATTTGCTGTTCGTTGAGCTGTGAGCGAACTGCCTCTAAGTCTGCAAAATGATTGCAATATTTCATCATATTGCTGATTGAATTTGGGTTTTTGTTATTTCTAATTCGTTGGAATACGAGCAATTCATATGAATAAGAACAATTTGAAATAATTTCACCAGTTAATTTTTTTACTATAATCTTTCTGCATTGCGGTACAACTAAGAGAGCGAAGCTCAAATATATGGACACGAAGTCCAAAACGCCATACGGTATGTAATCTGTCAGAGCAGACTACCGGTACCATCAGTCAACGCGGAAGACAGCCATCATAAAAGCGTATTCCCACGAAAAATACAATCTTGAACCACTGAAAATTCCAAAGCAATTGGTCCTGTTGTTGAGGAGAAAAGCAATTTTTTCATAACGATAAGAAGAAAAATACCAACAACATAATAACAAAACTATCCATATGTCTACTTTGCGTCCAATATTAACTATAAAATAATACCAAAACGATCCCAAGATCCAATAATACCAGGAATGAAAATTACCGTGTTTCACCAACGTTGCAATTTGCTGAACAGAATGATTCATGGAATTTTCAAGTGTTCGTGAAACATCTTCAAGAGATTTATTGAATTGCCCCGCCAGTTTTGAATACATGTCAGACCCTGTAAAAAACGCAAATATACGCCAATACGTTGTATTAGATAGCAGTAATTTTATTACAGTATTTATAGGTATTTCATAGGATGGTCTGTCAAATACATAACTCATTTTATATGTGTTACAGATAGTGTTATCGCTAATAGCAAAATATTAACCATCCACTGAATTTTGGAACCTCCCTCCCAAATAGCCATATTTCAGAATTCCCACGCAATTTAATACAATAAATAAAATATCAACAGTATTTACTCTACTTATTATATCTAATTCAAATCTTGCAAGATTTTGGTGTTTAAATATTGAAATATAATATATTCCGTTACCTTGCATTACTGAACGTAAAAGTTGCTTCTGGGAAAGATTCAGATACAAAATGCTTTCGATGGTGTTGTTGATTTGGGATTTATGTTCAGTCAGTTGTGTGTACAAGAAATCGAAATCTGTTAGATTATTCGAAATTATGAATTTCTAAACAATTCGTGTCAAAGACATGCAAAAACTTTACTCATGAGATTGCATGAATGTACCGCCAAACAGATGTACCGATGTATTGGAATCGGCTCAAGGTAGACCGATATTTCGGATATATTTAGCTTTTTAATCTGATTCAGAAAGTTTCAAAAAATAGGTTAGAATACGGATGTTGCAATTAGTTTTTGCGCGGAGGGATCATGCTCGCGGCATTTGCCTCCATCAATTTCCTATTATCTGATATATCTCTTTTTCCATCTGAAACAATGTGCACTATGAATATTGCTCACGGTCTATTGTTTTAATCCGTCTGTCCTGCACACTTAAGATAATAATTACATATTATCACAAATATCGGCTTTTTTAAATATTGGTCTCGGCGATAAAAGCGGTTCGGTACATTTCTAGTATGAACCAAACGGGGGCGACCTGTGTGTCTATACTAATATAACACGGTTCGGTTGTATTTATGGATGACTCGCTACTGTTGTAGATGTAACTGACTCCATGTATATCTGCCAAAGTTTAATTTAAACAGTTCATACAAGCAAGTTTACATGAAATTTTGGAGATGTATTCCAAGGTAACATTATGCTGCGAATGCTCCTGAAGATAGCTGTATAATCATCCAAATTTAGTTGTTATATACCTCAAGACAAATCTATTAGGTATTCAAAATATTCATTTTTCAAGATTTATGAACCATCGCAAAGTAAAATTGATAGACAAAGTGATAGACTTGGTTTACCTCTTGTTTTCTGGTCATAAAATTGCTCAATGGAAGAATTGTCTCGAGGAGTCTGCTTCATTCCCTTTATTTCGTTCTGCATCTGTTCAAAATGGGACTGTTTTTGTGAGTTTATTAAGTTTTTCACTTTTCAAAAATAATATTTCTTTTTGTGCCGGAGGTACCCCCCCCCCCCCCCCCCTCATAATACAGTGTGGTCTAGTCCGATATATTCGGCTAAGTGGGACCGTTGGGCATTCGCTAAACTTCATAAAAAGTAAGGTATACGAGCACGTAACAGTGTTTCTAAAAAGGCAATAGCGACTCATTCATTGGATGTGCGATTCATGAAATATCTCGTAAACGCTTGAAGCACGGTTACGTACATCTCTCAAAATCTAACGCATGGGCACGTAAGTTCTCTCGAAATCTTACGCACGGTCACGTACATTCTCCCGAAATCATACGCACGGTCACGTACATTCTCTCGAAATCGTACGCACGATCACGTACATTCTCTCGAAATCGTACGCACGATCACCGTTGAACAAAATCACTTCTTGGTCACTCAGTCATATCACTTGCCTCGCGGAGCTGGTGAGCAGGTTTTGCAAGGATCGGTCGGCCTGCTCTGCCTTACTTTCAGGGATTGGTAGATTATCTGTATTTTTGAATTTAGATCGTCTTGTAACAGATAATCTACCAATCCCTGAAATGCTCATACCAAGTCACGTATTGTGAATCACCCGTGTATCACACAATGCAATAAGCGAATTGCCTTACGGCACCGATCAAAAATATCACCTTAACGAGTCTATTCAGACGAGTTTCCATCCCATTGTGGTCACGTGACCAAACGTCGATGATGTTAAAAAACGAGAGAGCTACGCACAAATATACGGACACGTTAGACCAGAGCGAATCAGTCCTTACCGGTACCTTTGACGCTACCGGTACCCTCAAAAAAGTTCTGAATTTCCAGTAGTAAGAATTTTGCAGAATCAAAACGTACAGCCAGTCATGACACTGACTAAAATCCGTGTTCCCATGGATTAAAAATAATACAGCAAAATTTTAGACGAAATATCAAATTTCATAGAATTCACGCAAAATTTTGAAATGATTAAAAGTAATAGGCTTCTAGCGAAAAAATTAATCTTTAACCACTGAAAATTTCAAAACAATGGACCTTTTCCCGAGCATAGACTTCCTTGTTTACTTCGTGACATTGGCAAATCAGCAATATGCAAAAAGTGACGTAACAATGCCCCCTTTTCGCATCCGCTCAGACACTTTTCTCACTCAGACAGATTTTCAAACGTGGTTGTAAACATAACCTCGTTTTCGCGTTTTTGAACTCTATTTGTTAGTTTTCAGTTGTGTTTCGGAAACTTAAATAAAAATCAGATAATTCAATGATCACTCTGTCTTCCTAGGAGTTTTAATTTAATTGCAGTAATAAAAATTAGTGTAGAAATAGCTGTGATAGACTGGCCTGAAATTCTTACCGGTACTTTCAAAAAACAGATTATTGTATGCGATGAATCATAATGATGGTTTGAAACACATACCCCATTTTACAGGCGCCAACCCGCAAAAGCACTCTTAAAATAGCCCTGAAAATTTTGCAATGGTAAAGTATAGGAAGAATTTTCTGAGGGTCAAAGGTCGGGGAAAGGTCCATTGGTCCAGTATTCGAAGAGAAAAGCGACTTTTTAAAAACGTGTCAAAGAACAAGAACAACAACAACATAATATTGAAACGATCGTTATGTCCATTTTGTGTCCAATAAGAAAAAGCATTAGGAAATAATGGCCTCTTTCGGGCCATGGAAACAGGTTTCGCGGGCCGGACAGTGTCCCGCGAACCGTTTATTGCACCCCTCTGTTGAAGATGGAACAATTAAAATCCAAAACTACTGTTTCATTAAATATTAGCTGTATTCCACTTACCTGTCTGATCATAAAAATATTAAAAGTGGCGAGTGCGACAATCATTGCCAAAAGTATTATTAAAGTCACCACTTCATTTCTGATCTTTGTGTTCTTGTTCTCTGAAAAGATATGAAATGCATAGGATATTGTAAGAATAATGTCAAATATTCCTACAAATTTCACTGAAAGTTTTCATTTTTCACAAAGTAACGGTACGTAATGTTCATCTCATCGAGAATTTTGTAAAAATATGATGCAAGGCAACAGTATACATTGATCAAAGCATTGAAAAACTACATAAAACCTAAAATAAGAGTAAATATACCCTTACTCTATATGGCGTCTTTGCCTAGTGAAGGAATAACACCTGATAGACGCAGGAAGTCAAATACCCATACAAATTATAATGGAAATTTCATAAATTAGCGCTATGCTTTCCTAAAGTGAACGAATGACAGCTTATACCTAACTCCTGAAATACCTTTGCGTTTCTTTGGTTGAACTTGAACACATGTCATTTCATAAACATTGTCATATGCTGGTAAAGTGTTGTTTTTATCCGGATTTGAATCATCAGGAATATTATAGTAGAATTCTGTTTCAGCAGTAGACATCTTGACAGGTCAATCGGTTTTTCCAAACGACTCGTTCCAAATGTTCGATATCTATTTTTATACAGGTATAACTGTGGTTTGATATTCTTTAGTCATGTGTTCTTTAGTCATGAGTAAATGCATTAGAGTGGTGTAATCACCTTATAAAACATAACATGTCTTATAAGCATTTAATAAACAAATAAGTTAGCATGTTGTGGGTGATATCTGTTACTCGTCTGTTCGGGACCATAATGTATTCCTGCATCTCAAATACTAACGAACAAGCACAACAAGTTGTCGATATCATTGTTGCCAAAATATATGACTACATGGTTATTAGGTTATTAATGAGGGATTTGTGGGTGTCACAGAATCTGCGTCATCAATATTTATAAGTTTTTTGGAATTACTCACTGTGTGGTCAATTAAATAGAATGAACATAGAATAAATTAAGTATGCATGTTTTGATAGGATTCCTAATCTATGCACAATCATCAAAAATGTTGAATCGGTAGAATGTGGGATAATGAGCTTGTCTATTTCTACGCAGATATTTATCGCATGATACATAAAGCAGGTCTTATCGACTGGCGGTCCGACTCCGGACTTTTCGAGTATTCGATTCGGACTCCACCTAATTCTTTATTTTGGATCATTGACCCCACTTTGGATATGTGGAGGTTTCCTTTTATTAACTGACTTATATATTTTTAAAGATTATTTTATAGTTTCTTCATATTTGCACCTGAATATATATGGAACGAACGGTAGCGCCATAATTAGGGTTACCATAAGTCCCGATTTAAGCGGGGCAGACCCACTTTTCGACGTCTTGTCCCGGCTTCCTGACCGGTCAGCCAGAAGTCCCGCTTTGGCGCTCAGCCAGTCAAAATAATACACGAACATTACCAATTAGCATTTTTTCGAAACTGTTGTTGCTGTTTAACGTACCGGCAGCCTACTTACTGAAGGTGGATGCATGTTTTGATTGTTTCGTTGTTTTGATTGCTACAATTTTTTACGTGTAAGCCCCGTACGTCAAAGGGGTGCTTAACGTTAACGTAAGTTCCTTTATAATTTTCGAACTGAAACCGATATTTAGACAGACAGCGCACAAACTCTCGATGACAATATGGACAACTAAGACAGCCGGGATGATTTTAAATGTAGGCCCCTAATATAAAATCGGTAAATTCAAAGTTTAAAAGATGGTCTTTGGAGGCGTCCCGCATCGAGGTCACAAAAATATGGTAACCCTAGCCATAATAAACAATGCGAATAGTGCTATCTTGATTAGCGAAGGAAGTTCGCGTTTAAGGATGTTGAAATATAAATTCTGGAAAGACTGGACCCCAGTAATTTTAAATTTTGTATAAGGATCTTTGGTAAATATAAGTGAGTAGCCCTGACAAAGTGTTTGATTGAATATTCAAGTCCTCTGACCGCGGTCATGATTGCTACTAAAGATGTATCGATACAACTTTTTTACCGGTTCGATACCTTTATAATGGCCCGATACCGATATTTCAAATTTTCGGCATTTAATTAAAGAATTTATAATTATCATTGTTTTTTAGAGTATCGAACAGACGAGATATTATTTACAGTAAACTTTATTTTAACTAGAAGAACAGAGTTATCCCAGAACATAATAATGCGCAACTTAAAATCCGTATTTGCATTTCAAATGCATAACAACTGAACTCACTGCGGCTCACTATAAAAATGTTTGAATTACGTGGAGGCAGTGGCGTAAATAGGATGTGACAGCCATGGCTGTTTAGACAGGGGCGCAAAAACAGCGAGAAGTTTTAATCGTAATATGTTTCAATAAAATAATTTCAAATTAAAGACAACTGAAACATGCATTTTGACTTAAATATTAACGTACGGGTATAGCATATCAATAACAGTCATTAATCGTCAACCAACTATCAAGGGAGCCGCATTTTTCAACTTTGCCATGGCCGCCATTTTACGTTGATACGGCACTGCTTGGAGGTAAATTGAGTACTTCAGAATATACTAGACCAGCGGTTCTTGACCGGGAGGTAGAGGTGGCCACAATGCCAGTCGCAAAATTGATTTTATCTTTTCCTTTACAAAAAAATCCCCGTTTTCCTTAGTTTCATTGCTTGATAGATAAGGTTATTTCACAGGGTGTTTCACGATCAGTCACAACATTTTTTATCTGTGAAAAAATTTTATTTCTATTTTCAAATAAATGTGATGTATCCATGGCACGACTATCAAATCCCAAGGTATTATATTAGAAATACTCAACCTGATGTCAAAAACCCCCATATTGATTCATAACGTATCATATCCTTTATTTTTTCTGTGCGATTTAGGTTAATACTAAAATCACTGAGATTACATTAACGCTGAGATCGCATTCCAAGGTGGCATCCATGAATTAATTCTTGCGGTTATTTGCCATTGTTATAAATTAAGGCGCGCTCTACATATATAGTGTCTCAAATATAGAGGGTTTGCATAATAACGCTTCCCCTACTGGTTTGCATCGGTGGATGGAAATTTCATTAGGGGCGCTGCTTTAGCGAGGAAACTA